AGTGAATGCAATATTTAAGAATACTTAATATACAAAATTCATAATATTGAATATACTTGTGCAATATCATACTCATGTCTCCTGGAAAGAACTGCAAGTACAGTTCTTGAAATAAGAATACTATCTTCATTTAAACACCTGCCATAACTTTTTCTTTTCATTTTTACAGCACCAAGTTACCTCTGACTTTAAATCCAAACTCAGCTGCAACCTTATTTGCTATAAAGTCAGAGGTTAATGTTTCCTTATTCCTTTTCATGAAAGTCAAACTTCAGAGTTTGCTTGCCCGACCCCTTCATTATTGGTGTTAATTACTATTCTGCAATGTTGAAAAGATCACAATGTAGAAATAGTCAGCCTTAGCAAGATGAAAGCAGTTCAAATAAACACTCTGCTCAAACACAGAAGAAAAATAAAATAAACCTTCTAATAAGTCTTAGTCATGTTGAAGTGCTAGAGCCATAAAAGGAATGCAGTTTAACCCATCCACTGCATTTAAATGAAAACTTATCACTAAAACCATATCATTTAAAGAGCAGCGCCCAGTAAATCACTGATGCCCTGTAACCCAAAGTGTACAGAAAAAATACAGTGGTAATAACTATGGAAAGAAATAGGTCAGAAAAGCCTAGAGACAGAACATTGATCAATGCACAGGTTACCCAGATTCTCACTTAGTCCAAGACTAGATCAGGCACCCCTGATTTCCAGCTAGCCACAAGTTACCTGGAGCAGGAACCACTCCTGTTGCAGACAGCTTAGAAGGAAAGGGCTTCTCTCACTTGCTGTTACCAACAACAAATTCTCATTAGCAGCAAACTGCAGAGTCCTCCTCCTGTGAAGCCTCAGCCCTACAGGTCTGTTATACCACCTGTAACCCTGATCTAAAGAAAATGCATCACTGTCTGACTTTTAAATACAACAAAACCAAGGAACAGCTGCAAGAATCCTACAAATACCAACTACACTTAACACTTCAACATTCAGTGAAATCAGACCTCAATTTCATTTCTTTTTTGTCTCCCAACAGATGTAATTCCTAAATGTAAGCTTGCTTCAGAACTCTATTTCAATGATGGTTGTGGTCCATGAAGGGCACAGCGCTTCTGGGTGAGTTTGAGATCTGAGCAGAAGCAGGGGCAAAGTCTGAGTCCCCAGCCCAAAGTGGCCTGCTCACCCTTTTAGCATCCTTCATGCATGTTCCAAATTCAACTGCTTCCAGTGCTTGTAAAACAACCCCCAGGGAGCATAAAGGTTTGAATAAACAAGAAGCAATCATAACCCTATGAGGATTGTGCATGCAAACACATTATGAGGTTGTGGAAACAGAGATGTGGAATGGGAATATATCACCACCAAACCATCAAATATGTATACTATTAATATACTATTAATATAAATATAAATATACTATTAATAAAATAGTAAAATGTATCCCTCCAACAATAACCACTGCACCCACAGGAGGTGGCTGCAAAGAGAATTTTAGCACAGTGCCCCAGTCACTGTTACAACACAGCTGGAACAGCAATGCTTCTGCAAAAAATTACTGTGACAAAGGTGTGTTTGCAGACCCAAAGCCACTTCCTGAGAAAACCTGTGACCAGCACTAATCAGTATATCCATACTGTTAATTCTGCATTGAAAGCTGCACACTTAAAGTAATGAAAACAGGGACAGAGGATTAATAAAATTAAAAGAAAATAATTATAAAAGGCTTTTTTTTTGGACCAACAGACCTGTTGCTGCTTTCCAATAAGAGATATAAAGGAAATTAACTCAACATCTCATTAGAGAAAACTGGGGCTAAGGAGAAAAAAAAAAGCTAGGAATATGTATGTTAGTAGCTAGAGGGAGACTGAAGTGGACAAAAACCTTCTGAATAAATGCAAAAAATCCATGAGAATTAACATCCCCACCTGGGACCACATTTGGGGTAGAGAGGGGAGGTAATTCTGGGCTCTGAGGTGCCACCTTCCAATGAGGTTCTGAGCCTCCAGCTCAGCCAGCCACCAAAAGGAGTGGGTTGGGGGCTCACTCCCCAGCTCACACTAATCCTGCTCCTGTTGTTTCATCACTGGGTTATGTTTTAGACCCTGCAAAAAGGCAACTTCTTACCTTTGATCCACCCCCGGGAGACTTGCTTAGTTTAAGAGCTGTTCTCTGTCCCTTTGGCAAAGATTCTCTTCCTTAACCCTAAAAAAGCAATCCCGGTGTCTGCCAGAGCTCTGCTTGAGCAGACTCATTAAGGGAGGCCAAACGAAGCTTCACATGACCCAGTACATTTCAGAGAAAGCACCAGGATCACAGGGCTAAACTAGTTTTTCTTGGCTATTGGATTTGTTTTGGCTGTAACAAATATTTTGGCTTCCTTCCCTTTCAGTTTGCCAACGAAAACACAGATCCAAGGTTTTCAGACTCTGGGATTGTAGCAATTCTGAAAAATGACAAAGTGAAACACATACCAGCTAATAAAGAGCTATTCATGCTCTAAATACCCTCTTGTGCTGCTCTGCACAGAGTGTAGCACAGCTTCTGGAAATGTTGAGCTTGTTTGCCCTACCATTGATCTTGGTGATTTGCTCTGCAGCAAGACGCACGGATGCTTTCTTTACAAGCAACCTTTCTGATTTCTAAGCAATTTATTATTCCTCTCCCACAAAAACACAATGCCATCCTATTTTTTCTTACTATTTGAATTAAACAGACATTGGGCAACGTAACATATAGAAAAGGCTACAGAACATCTGTTCACACTGGAGATGGCAACCCTAGTGTCATTAGGGGTCACCAAAGGTAACGACCTTATTTTTTTATCCTTCTCTGGAATACTGCTATTGCAATTTAATACTGCAATATTCCCTTCTCAAGGAATCCATTCACATGATTACCCTCCATAGACTGCAACCCCAGGCTTGTGGACTGCTTGTAGAAACGCTCCCTCCAAATGCCCACAAGTGCAGCAAGTAGAGGAACCCCAAACTGCCCATCTCCAAACTCTGTCCACAACCTGGAAATGGAGCTGCATCTTTCCAACAATGGATTTACCTACAATACCAGTTCTGTCCTTGGAAATTAATGAATGACTCCAGCAGTGCTAGATGAATTGACAAATCAACTCACACTATTTAAAAAAACAGACTTCTGTAGCTAAAGGCAAAAGATGTGGAAAAGAAAAACTTATCTGTGCACACTTCTAGTCCTAAGAATTGTAAATTGAGATCTCATTTATCAGTATGTGGCTACTACACGAGTAAAAAGTTAAAAGTATCTCACTCCTTTAAAAAATAGTGGGGGAAATAAGAGTCAGATACTCAGTTAAAGATGTCCCAGCACTCAGGGCCAGGAGTGAGGTAGGGTGCAGTATGTGACTCTTCTGCTATGTTAACCATTCTGAATATATAACTCACTGCTTTGGTGACAGAGGTACCAACTGGCAAAACCATTTTCTCACCCAGAATCTAAACACCACTATTGTATTTTCAGACTTTGGAGACTCCCAGTTTTTACCCTGCAGGATGACCAGACACAGAAAAGGAAATGATACACAGAGATAAGCAAAGGCACAGATTTCTCCGGCCAAATCGTTCATGAATTTGTCAGCTTTTCTATTCTTTCCTTTTTCTCAACCTGGAATCTGAATTTTGTACACTAAGTAAAGGTCTGCAAAGACTGGGGCTCCTCTCTGAGCAGCAGGAGGCTGAGCTGACACAGTTCTGCCAGGGGTAATTCTCAAATACCACTCAAGGTATTTTATGGAAACCACAGTGCTACTCAGAATTTACTTTCCTCACTTCCAGACCAAAACTACAGCCACAAATTTAAATAGAATTCACAGTCCAGAGGAAAAGCAGTAAATGTTTCTACAATAAACATTACAAAATCCAGGTGTAAATTGATTTATATGAAGAAAACACAAGGTGCTTTAGTGATTTGATGCATTAGTAATGCAGGAACAGCTACTGGTATTTTATCTGAAACAGAATTTCACATTGATTTATGCACCATCTACTTTACTATATGTTTCCCTAATGAAGCATATAAAGAAGGTGTCTGACTTCTCAAAAAGTGTGAAAATATTGAAATATTCATAACAGACAGATTTAATGGAGGCTTCCAGATGGTGCAACTGAACCAGTTAAGTTAATGACAAAGCAGCAGCTGGATTCCAGTAAGAGACATAATGTCTTTCAAAAAAGCCAACACCACTAATAAAAAAAAAAATTACATAAAAGCAAAGGATGCAAGATGATCAGACAGGACTGCCACAAAAAAAATCCAAACCAAACTAACAAACAAACAAACAAACAAAAAAAAAACCAACCCCACAGAAACAAAAAAACAAACCAAAAAACCCCCCACCAAACCAAAACAAACCAAACCAAAAACAAAAAAAAACCAAACAAAGCACCATACTATTTAAATCTGAAAGATCATTTTTAACATCAATCCAATGCTAATGTACTTGAGCTAAGCAAAATTACTTTTATAGTAGAAACTGGAAGTGGACTAATTGAAAACTGACTTTGGAGCAAAAAACAAATGTGATTTCCACTCAAGGCAGGGATAAAATACTGATGTAAAACCTTGTTAATAATTGTCTATTAGCTCATATTTCTGCACACCGACTTGTTCTTTAGACGTTTTCCAGCATGTAGTACTCTTTTACCTAAGAGAGATGCAAACTCATATCCTTCCAGCAAACTAGCCCGTCAAAACCGAGGCAGCAAGAGTTCAGCTAAGTACAAACCGTGCCTCACTCCCTCCATCTCGTGGGCACGAATGAATGTTGCAACCACTGCGACTCTTGACTCTGGAAAACATTTAATCACACGCCAGAACATCTTCACATCTAGGGATACTTTCTTGTTTAAATGCCACTGTAATAACGAGCTGTCTGCAAAGGCTGTTGAAGTGAGTAGAATACCTTTGGTGTCGGCTTTTATTTCTCAAATAAAACAAACACAGGGCTGCAAACGGACCGGAAGACGTCAACTCACCCGCTGGTGATGTCGTCGGCCCTGATGTTCTTGCCCAGCACATCGCCGTCGCTCATGTAGCCGGCGGCGTCCATGGCGATGCCCTCCAGGTCGATGTCGTCGCCGGCCTTGTCGGCGCCGTCCACGTGGCAGACGCTGCCGCCGCGCGTGGCCAGCTGCCGCCGCAGCGGCGCCGAGCAGAGGTAGCGCGCGGCGCCCGGCTCGGCGCTGACGAAGCGGCTGGCGTTGCCCCGCGGCGGGTAGCCGCTGCCCGTGGAGGGCGCGTCGCCCGCCTGCAGCCGCGGGCTGGACTGGCCCAGCCGCCAGGACAGCGGCGTCGGCCGCCCCGTCAGGCTGAGGATGCTGCGCCCGCTGATCTCCGTGGTGACGTTCGTGTCGAACGTGGTCTCCAGCGTGCTAGAAGGGAGAGATGCGGGTAAAATTCCTTAGGGGTTTAGCTTTTATGTGTTTCAAATCCTATACTAACCCCAAACTCCATATAGAGTGTTAGTTGACCGTCTTCGCATTTTGGTCAGACAAAACAATCCCTCTAGGCCTGAAATTCAAAGACACCTCACTGCCCCAGGCCCCAAAAAGTACAGACAAAAGTGAATTGAGCCGCAGCAAACTGGGTGTATACGACTTCATTACCTGAAGCTGTAATTGTAGAATTCACTGCCAATATGTAAATGGACCCAACTTACAACTGTCTGAAAAACTCATGGCCATCATCAACCTTGCGTGTAGCCTCTGGAAGGCTTCTGACAGCCCAAGGGGTTTGAAGGCCTTTAATAAATACCCACTTTATTCCCTTCATCTTGTCTAGCCTTTGTTCCAGGTGGCCACCCCAAGGCATCAGACGCACCAGATCAAATATGACTCTTACATGGAACACTGTGTGAGATTTCAGGTGCTTCCAAGGCTCTGAATGCTCACCAAGTTACTGACTGTACGTGACAGCACTAACAACTGACTGCTGCAGCACTCAGGGAGATCCTTTCCTTTCAATCTCAGGTCCTTCCACCATATTTGCAAAGAGACTTCTTGCACCCAGGCCACCAAGTGCTCGAAATACATGGGAGAAGATGTAAGCAGGACTTTTTAATGGATTATCTATGGTATCCAAGTGTAACTTTCTCATCTTCAAGCATGCATAACTCCATTACACTATGGTTTTGCCACTCTAGGGAAGGGAGTGGGATAATAAGGTGACTAAAGGAAAATCCGTTCAAGTTCTATTTTTCTGATATATTTCCTTTTATTGTCTGCATTCACGATAATTTTAACTCTGGACATGTCTCCAGCACCAAATGAAAGCTATTTCTCTACCATGAAGAGAAATAAGTGAAAAAGGTAAGAAGAAAGACCAATTTTTTTTTCCTTCAGAATATATTTTGTATATTAACAAATCAATAATGAGCTATGAACTACTTTGAAGATGTTCACACCCAAACCAGAAAAAACAATAAATGACCCATATATTCATGAGTTATGTATATTTTTAAAAATATTGGTAATATTTATAAATGAAATCCTAAAACTGGGACTACACTATGAGTTTTCAGGTGATGTGTACAGATTGCAAGACTACACCCTAAATACTCATAGCTGAAATGCAGTGAATTTATTTGAGGGTAATCCATAGCTGCAACTTCTCTTACCCACATGAGCTCCTCTTTTCCTTTCCTGCTCAACTTAGTGCCACTTTTTTTTATTGTGGATATTAGTAAAAATAAACAGCATGATACCATTCCTTATGTTACATATAAGCAAAAACCTCTATTTTCTCTGGTTATAGTAATTAAACCATAGAGAGCTGCCACATTAATTGAAATTTGCAGAGAAAAACAGCTTTGGGAACTCATCTTTGCAAGCTCTGCTTCAGTTTTAGATACAAAGCCAAAACACAAAGTGTTCCCCCAATAAACTCATGTAGGGCTGGGGTACATAAGGCACCAAGCATTAGGTAGCACCCCAACTTCAGTAGGGGCCAAACAGCTTATTCTCCAAATCTTCCTGTTTAACACTGAAAAGATCTAACTCTCATGATGTTTAAACGTAATAGCAATCTTCGTTTATTTACAGTATATTTTAAATATTGCTGAAGATTTCCATAGGCTGCTTTACAAAGAGAAAGCAGTTACATTCAGTGGATGACTAACAATACTAGAAGAACTTGTTTGTCCAAAGTTTGGTCAGGAATTTAAGTTATGCACTTGATAATGTGGGTCAAGCACAGTTCACCTCTTATTTAAACAAAATATTACACACACAGGGAGAGAGGTGTAATGCACTGAAGTTACTCAACAGTAAGATGAAACATTTAAAACTGTAACTTATATTCAAACATCACCTCACACATTTAACAAGAAGTGATTTTTCTTGACCTTTGAGTCAATACACACCCCATCCCATCAATTCCTCTTCACACATCTCAATAACCAGCAGACATTATTCAAATTCTGTGCATTAAAGATAAAAATTACAAGATCAGTATCTTCCACTGTCAGTATTAATTATTTTTCTAAGGATACAGCCCAGCCAGGTGTAAGAGATGCAAAGTAAGAGCAGAATTCACAGAATGACTAGGTTGGAAGAGATCTTCAAGATCATTGAGTCCAACCCATGCCCCAACACTCAACTAAACCATGTCACCTAGTGCCACATCCAGTCTCTTTTTAAACATATCCAGGAATGGTGACTCCACCACCTCCCTGAGCAGACAATTCCAGTACTTTATCACCCTTTCTGTAAAAAGCCTTTTCCTAATATCCAACCTGTATTTCCCCTGATGCAGCTTAAGACTGTGTCCTCTCAATCTGTCAGTCGCTGCTTGGAGAAAGAGCCTGACCCCCACCTGACTACAACCATCTTTCAGGGAGTTGTAGAGAGTGGTTTGCATTTTGTTAGGAACCCTTTGCCAGAGCTGCCTTTACCTGTGGGTGACCTGGGTTCCCCGCAGACTGGACATGGTTTCCTCCAGGTTCTGCCGAAGGTCAGCGATGTTCTTCACAGTTCGCAGCCGCCGCGTCTCCGGATCCTCTCCTGCAGGAGAAGGAAGCCATGAGTAAGGAGCAGGCAAGGAACAGCACAGAACTGAGCTGCTGCCTATGCCTGACACAAATGCACTTTTTTCTGACTTTCTAAGCTGGTTAGGATTGAGATTCCATTCCCCTGGGCAGGCACCTGCCGTCATCACATCCTGACCAAAATGAGCCCTGCAGGGTTACCCTCATTGCACAGGCTGCCTTTGAGATGTTGCTGACCCAGTTTAAATTCTGGTTAACTTTCAACCTCATTAGAATATACACTCCATCAATACCACCCTTTCCATCTCATATATTGGCACAATTAACATTGACCTGACACAGGCAATTTCTCCAATCCTGTGTTTTCACTAGATCTTCTTTGTCCTACAATAATACCTTTCCATAAACTAAACTGTGCTGACTGGGTGGCTGCTCCATGCTGAGTGATGTTTCAGGTAAAATAACAAAAGGTTTTGGTTGTCAACATAACACAGTTACTCTTCCTAAAATGTGCTGCATGACACAAAGTTGGGGGATTACTTAGTTTTCATGGCATTTAGAAATGTTATTGAAATACTTTGTTCCAAAACACATTCATGTCCCGCTCCTTAAAAGTAGAGTTTATGTACACAAAAAATAAAGTCTTCCTACTCTTTCAGCATAATTTCATTTTATCAAATTAATAATTTAATTAGTGCTTCAGCATAATTTATTCACGTGCTCTGTGCTGTCAATTCAGAAATGTTTTGGTTGCTACCTCAGCTGAGCTTTATAGAGTTAAATCCTCTAAGAGGCTAAAGAGAAGTGAATTTCCAGTAATGCTGGCCTATTCTTTGTAAACTGAAAGCTGGAACAGTAAACCTCCAAAAAACTGTCACAAAGCTTTTGTAGGGCACAGAAGGAAATTATTTTATTCTAAAGGGTTTACAACACATGACTAAAGAAAATACTACAGTAAATGTAAAACTTTTCATATTTTGTATCAGCCTTGTCTGTACAAGTGTACATTTTTGAGCTGCCAGGGTGCTGGGCACCCACACAATTGCTAGTTTAGATGGATATCTATATATTACACACATCAGAGGTGTGAAGAACCAGATAAAAAAAAGATCTTGTTGGGACTTTGTACATTCTCTGCTTTAAATTTCAGGTTTCTAAAAGATGCCAGGTTGGTAGCACAGAAAAACCCACTCACACAGTGTTTCCTAGAAAGCAGCAGTGCTACAAACTACTGACCAAAGTGCTTAGTGCCCATGTGAGCATTTTTCTTTTAATCAGTCTCTAGTCTCTGGGAAATCATCTCCCTGAGTTACAATTCACTTAAGCCAGAGGGTCAAACAATTATGGTCTGGCTGGACTGAAAACATCCACCCAACATGACTGATTACTTTAGCCAGTGGGTCTCTGGGACAGAAAACATTTTCTATACTCATGGATCAACAAATTTTTGTAGTAAAAAATATAAAATATTTATAGGCCTTTAGCTTAACAAAGGTCACAGTGCTCTTTTACAGATCATTTCTCTCACAGATGTGAAAGCAAATGGTAGGTAACTTCTTAGGAAAAACACACAGGAGACAAACTAAAGCAATTTCTACTGAGATCACTCTTATGCCTAAATTATTACCAAATTTTCACTTAAATGACATTCCACTGCTTAAATCAAAAGTATAAAGACAGATATTGAATAGTTGGCTCCTAGAGCTTAATTCTGAAATCACTTAGCTCCTTATGAGCAGTCAGCATCCTTAAACAATTCTGCTTCCATTTTTCCCTACCAATGCTCTCTTTTGTTTTATATGTGCTTTTAAATTAACAGCATCAATAGCTGCTATGCAGGGAGAGAAGGTATCTGTGCCTTATTTCTTCATTCATTTGGGCTGAGGGAGTATTTTGTTTAGTTTGCTCTGTTTCCCCCAAGGCCCCTCCATGGATGCTGCTGTCTGGTCTGGTTGTGCACAGCTGGTGTTTGCATCTCCCTTGTTTGAGTTTGTCAGCTGTCTTCCGCCTCTGGATCCCAAAACTTACATATTCTAGTTCAGTAATAGTTTGTACTTACATAACATCTGTCATTAAAGACTGAAGACCTTTTGTGGTCTAGAAGCGCTTCTCAGTTTGCAGGCTGAAATACATCCAGCCCAGCCAATATGATGATTAAGAGGTAATGCTGAAAAAGTTGAAGCAGCTGGACACTGTGTTTCTTACTTGCAACTCTAATATTTAAATATGAACCCAAAAATGTTCTCAAGGATTTTATCCCCTGTGCCTTTTATCTGCCTTTTAAGTACTTAATGCACCTATGTATAAATTGTACACACAGATGTGTTCACTTAAGGCATTCCTGCAGCCCTTTTCCTTTTCCTCACCAGTGACTCTGCTTCTCACTTTTCCCATCAGCACACATTGATAGAATATGCAATGCAGTATGAAATTAATCTCATTGTCAAACTTTTAGCCACATCACTTTTCCAAGGAGGGCATCTGGTTTCAAACCCCACACTGAACTGGGGGACACCAAGACTAAGCAGATGGAAAAATCCTGAGAGGTTCTACAGATGAGATATCCTGCAATAGCACACAGTAAGCAAAGGCACAGATATTGCTGAAATGGGGACAGGAGGAGATCAGATTGTGACTTTAAAAACACATTTTAGATCACATTAGTAGAATCTATTCTAACAGAACATGGTTGCAGAAAATAGTTTTGGTTATATTTGTAAGTTTGATTTTTTTTTTCTAACTAGCATATACTTCTTACATTAGCAAGAATTCTAGATAAATACAGATAAATATACCAGGTACTTTCTAATTTAGACTGCTCATATTCTAGCCACAACCACTTTCAGCTTCTGTATGCTGGACACAATAGAGTGTAGTTGGATTTTGGTGCTCTACTGCTGCAAAGGCTGTTTCTCAAATTGATCAGATTCATGGGAGTGATATTAAGATTCCACCAAACCAAAACATCAAGGAAATGAACACAATCCGTTCTGTAAGCTCTGAAATGAAGTTTTTAAAACTAAACAATGCATATGATATGCTTGAGAATGCTTAGGATCCTTATAGTAGTTTAATCCTAAAAGATGCTGTACATCTCATTAAGCAGGCAGAATTCCTGGTGATTTCAAGAAATTTGGGGAGCACACTTGTGCTGAACTTAAGCATCTAGAGTTCAAATTATTGACACCCGGTTCATTGCTGAAGAGCTGAAAGAAAGACAGTTATTAAGAACGAAAGCAGTAGGAATAAAATCAACTTGCTCTAGCCCATTCTTATTTAGGCAGAGCACAGCCTGTAATGGGTCATGCTGCAAGACTTACCTGAGAGGTCCTCGAGGGCAGGCTGGGCAGTTTTGACATAAAGAGCAGAATCCATGCTGACCCCTCCTGTGCTGGCCTCAGCTGTTACATTCCCTTCATTGTCTGTCTGAGATCTGGAAAGCAAAACAAAACGGGGATGTGCAGCCACTCTCCATCCAAAGTATCTCAAGTATAACAACAAGACAAGTGCACCTGCCATCAGCCACTCTGTCTCACTCTCCAGAACACACCAGCAGACTGATTTTACATAATTCATTAGTCCCATGTTGAATTATGTCCCAGAAATGGAAACAAGCACTCAGCTGTAAAAAATAAAAAATTCATAGTTGAAGATAGGCTTCACAGCTCATCAGATGGGGTCTCAAAACACTTGGATTTCCAGATATATCTTAATTATCAAAAACATCAGTTGTTGTGGCTAATCTGATCTTCTCCAATACAGTCTGTATTGCATGAAGACAAAGCAGGGAGCATTTTAAGAGAAGGGACTGGGCAAAACCAACTTCAAACTCCAATTTATTGTCTGATATTATGGCTACCAGGTAATGAAAAGTGATGTAAGGATCTACAGTCAGATTTGAGTAAGATATTGTGACTCATTTCACTTTACTAATTGTGCTGTGTTTTGCTCATAGAGCCATGCCACCAGGCAGCTGGAAGTTCTCTTGCCCCAAGCATAAGAGCTGTTGTGAAAAAGTAAAGACACTGTGGGGAATTACTATTGCAATGCTCTTAATTTCACCTGACTCCTGTAGCAGGACGCTGTGCCTGGAGTGGGGGTAGAACAACTGGAACAATGCCCTATTTTCAGAGCTGTCTGTGGCAGGAGGAGAAGGGACCTCTTGCTGCTTTTGGTGTTGAACAAGGCTGAAACCAGCCTGACTCATCAGCCCCAGAGTTCAACCTCTGATAGGAGAGGTGAAGGTGTGGCAGAGCTGGTAAAGTACCTGATAAAGGAACCAAGAATGACACCACTGATAACTGGGGATGCTGGGCTGGCACAGCTGGCCAGGACACACATGACTGATGGTCACTTTATACGGTAAAAGCCCAATCCCAGTCTTTAATGACAAGGTCTTCGAACACACCTCTGTGTGTGCAGAGTTCTTGAGTGGGGACATCCTGCGGGTGAGCAAAGGAGATGTGGCCACAGTCATTGGTATGGGTGAATAACATCAATCTCTACTGAATAACTGATTTTAATATAACTTCAACACAATTCCTTTGCTATTGTTTCAAAAATAGTGCATTATATTATACTAGTAATCATGGCTGCCTGTACTGTGTAGTAAATAATTCTGATTGAGAACTATTAGTCTAATAATTATCAAAATAAATCCTTTACTTTCATGTAAATATATCTGGATTGCCATCCTTAATCCTACAGTACAGTTGAGTTATATTAAGTTCAATTACATCTATACAGTCCTTCAGACATGAACAAAGTTGATCAAGTCTGGTGCTAAGCCTGGATCCAGCTGCATCAAGAACTCCTCTCTGAAAAAAAGTTTAGAAAGCAAGGGAGTCCCTTCTGCTCCTCCCGACTCAATGGGAGAGCTTCTCTAATAAACTTTGTCTGAAGCTCTCTTTCTGCCAGTGACAGCCCTATACAAAATGCAGGACAATTTCTTATGTCTTTTGCTTTTAAAACCACATCAAACCCAAACAAAAAGTCTACAAGCAGCTGAAAAGTACAGATTAAAGTAATCTAACTGATGTCAGAAAACACCTGAGCCTTCTACTGCAATGTATTAACAAGTGCATTTTGCAGACTGAAATAATTTCTGGATAGTCAATATAATAATGTGTTATGTTTGCCTTGCAAACCAAAATGATCTGATTTTTCTCTTTCCTTTTAAAGATAACCTGACTACAGTGTTTGTCCTTTTTTCCTCCAGTGCTGAAAAGTAAGCACTGTTTTTCAATTTTCCAGCTGCCAACAGGTAGTTTCATTCCTGGTTTTTGTAAAAGGTCATATAAATACTGTGTGGAGTTTATCAGTATGTTTAGCTTACAGAAGATGTATGGACTGCATCTGCCTTTACATGTTTGATGAAGATATCTGAGCTCAGACTAAAGATGAATACTAGCAATGAGGGGACACTGTGGTGATAAACTTAACAACCCATCTCCAAAAATTCCTGCTTCCCAAGTCCCCTGGCATTTAATTTCATACACACAAGAAGAATTCTCAAAGAAGACAGAAGACTCAAGGGTTGCTCTTGCCATTCTGCATTTCTGCACAGGCCTTTGGCATCCCTCTCCTTCAGGTTCATACCACTGACATTCACTCTTACTCAAAAAATGTGACTGACCATTCTTTATGCTACATGGGCCAAGAGATCCAAGGCAAAAATGTGCACAAAAGAGTTGAAAAAACCATGGGACAGGGCAACAAAAATGACCAAAGATCATGAACAGAATCTCTACAAGTGAAAACAAAAGAGGCTAGGACATCTTAGCCTAGTACAGACATATCTTAAGGAAGGGAAGGAGGTGAGAAAGGTCTTTCAGATCATAAGCAGAAAGAAGATAGAGACAGAGCAAACACTTGCATCCTCTTCCTATGAAAGAGCTAAGCAGTGTCATAAAACCCCCATGAGATGGCTGTCCAAACCAAAAATCCCATCCTCTGACTGAGAAACTTCTTGTGACCTAGTCATGTTGTATTCTTAAGAATCCCTGCTACTGATTTCCCTCTTGTTACTTCCCTACTATCCCCAGGATACTTCCCTATGTATCCTCTACTGCCACTGTCACACAGAAGGTGCTTCAAACAGAAAATGGACTAGACAGAGCTGAGCTGTGACTTCCTTTGGCTGCTCTTTTCCATATCTCGGGGTTAACACATACAACAGCACAGATTTCTTGTCTGGCCTTACTTAAATGAAAGTATTTTTAATTTTTTTTTTTTTTTGTTTAATTTCCAATTCCTGCTTATAGTGAGGCAGCTCCACCACTGGCACCCACAATGAAGACCCTGAGAGTGTTTTGGCGTTGTTACAACTTTCGAAGCTACAGTGCACAAAACAAACCTGACACACGTTCTTGTACCCTTCAGAAGAGCAGCACCTGGTCAGGGAGGTGTTCAGATTGCTATCTGTCCTGCCAGTCGGGCTGCACACAACCATCATTCCCCCTCCTGTCCATCACAACTTCCCATACACCCTTCACCATGAGTTCTTCTGAAGAGGCAAGAGGCTTCTCCATAACCTAGCATGCTTCAAACGCCCTGGAAGTGTCTGGAATGACCCTCCCGGGTCATTCCAGACACTTCCAGGGCGTTTGAAGCATGCGTACCTCCTGGCACGTACCTGTACATGAAGGGCGCGACGGTGGCGGTGTTGGGGTGGCTGTGCTGCTGCTGGGGGTGCGGCAGCTGCACACTGGCGGTGCCGCTGCCCATGCTGTGCGCGGCCGCCGCGGGCCCGCTCACGGCCTGGCTGCTGCCGCTGCCGGGCAGACCCCCGGCACCCTTGCCCTCGGAAGCCAGGCTGGAGGAGGAGCTGGAATTTCGGCTGTCCAGCTGGGACTTCTGGTGCGAGAGCCCCGAGCTGCCTTTCCCGCCTCGGCTCCTCTCGCCTTCCTTCGCAGCAACAGGGGCGCTCGAGGATTTCCCTGCGGTGTTTTTCATTCCTGGTTTTGGAATTCCGCTGTGCGAAGGGGCAGAGGCCTCCTTCTTGGCACTGTTCAGCTTCCCTCCTTTGGGGATAAAGCTTGCGATCTTGGAGGACTTTTTTGGCATCTCTGTTGCTGTTGTTGGTGCTGTCTGTTCTTCTTTAGGTTCCGCCTTCAGCTCTAGCTTCTCGGTGATGGATGTTCTCTTTGTAATGTCTTTGCTTTTATCCTTTTCTTTCTCTTTTTGTTTCTCTTTCTCCTTCTCATTACCCTTTGGAGAACTTTTCTTATTAGTCAGGGCGCGGCTGAAAGTCCTTTGTGCGATTCCCTTGAGCGCAATTTTGGGGCTGCTGGACATCGATCCCGGGTTGTTCACATTCTGGTTGGAGGCATCGATTTCTTCGCTCTCCTCAAAGCTGAGAAGCACCTCCAGCTTTTCACAGCTGTTGTCCCGAGAGCCCGGACACTCCAGCGTTGTCCCCGACACTGCTGCTTTGGAACCCCCTTTGCTGTTGAAGAGTTTTAGTTTTTCCAGCATGGATTTTTGGCCGTTGGGAGCCGTTTTGGCGATTTCCGAGGGCGGCTTTGGAGGCTCCGCCGCCGGCTGCTTCACGGACAGCATGGAAGACGTCGCTGTGTGCTTGGCGCTGAGGGACTTGCTGCGCCAAGGTTTAATAGCAGAGCTGGGCTGAGGGATGGCTGAGGAGTTATTGCAAGGAACAGCACTGCCACAGCTTTGAACTGAGGATGAGCCATTTTCATTCATTCCTGTGGGCTGGGAGGCCGTGCTGTCTGCAGGCTCTGGGAAAAAAAAACACAGAAAACAGCCCAATAAAACAACAGAGTAGTACCTGGCATTGCAGTTACTATGAGATTCTTTCTGTAATGAAACATCAAGAATTTCACACTGGTAAGATTAAAAAGACACATCAGTATTTGCAATATCAGTGAAACTCAGAGAAAATAAAAGCCAGCTTTCTTTTCCTACCCAGCAGAGCAGCAATGAGCTCCTACTGTATAATTTACATTTACTTGCTGTTTCAAGAAAAAGAAGGAAGAAAAATAATCTCTTCCAATTCAAACCAAAATGTGTTCTGCAATGTGCTCTCCCTTATTAAGTCCACAATACTTTTTCATTAGCAAAAACACAGCACTATTTTGTAACTAAGGGTTCCCTCTGCTTTTGGCAAAATACTTGCTGTCCAAGTTCGATTCTTAGAAAAACCTCAAACATAAAAAAAATGCAGGAGTAAGGAAAAAAGTAAAACTAAGGTCCTTTCAGTTATTGGGGGCGGGGGTGGTAATGTCTTCACAATGCAAAGGTAGAAGAAAACTCCATGTACAAAAATAAAGCCAATTGTACCCTTTTGTAAAGAAGCTAAATTAAGTACTACCACACATCCTAATACAGCTGTAAGAGAAACCTGTGGCAGTAACTATACAGCCCTCCCCCACAGAGAAAACAAATCTATTATTTAGTTAGTTCCTCCTAATGTTATTTGTTCTTATTAAGAAACTAGTTCCGAGCCTGAAGAGAGCTTGAAAAATCACACTCACCTACCAGCGGCCACTTCTCCTCTGAATCAGTTCGTCTTTGCAGATTTTCCCTTTTGGAGATGTTACTCTCTCAATTATCACAAATATGTTTTCTGTTAAACTGCTCATGTTTCCAATTAAATTTTGTCATCTCTGTCTGTTCGCCTGCCCAGCAGCCTGCTGGGGATTAACGGCTCTTACCTATATTTCCCTGCCCTCTAGCACGAAAGTAAACTGTGTACAGAGCTGCATTTTTTTAATTCAAAAATCAACAGCAGTGGAGAGCGTGCGTTCTCGGCAGCAGGAGCAGCCCTGTGAATCCAGCCCTGTAAATCACGAGCTGCTGCAGCCACACAGGGACTGTTTTACTTCACTTTCAGTTGCTCAGTGAAGATACAGCTCTGTTAATCTCCCTTCTCTGATCCAAACCAGATCTACTGAATATTTAAGCCACATACATCTTCCTGATTTAGCACAGAATCGAGTTTCTAAGAGTATTTAGAGACTGCTTAATAATAAACTCAGCCATTTCATATGGTTATGGACAAAGTGGAATAGCAAGAACTAATGATACTTATAAAACTATTACTGAAGTCAGAAGGTTTCCAGGACCCTTAACCAGTAACTATTATACTGGCTGGTTTTGCTAGTCCTTTTCCTATGGCCAAGTACCCACATGGAGCTGGAAGGAATCAGGAGCTGGATTACAGACACAGACAGGAATCATGCTGCTTTTAAACTCATGCCAGCCTGCTGACTTCCAGGGTATTGCTCCTGTTTAACACAGAGGGAAAATCAAGGCACCGAATACCCCAAACAGTGATACCATCTGGCCTCTTGCTGCTCTGCTCAAGCCTGCCCAGTGTGTTAAGGAGGACCAAAAAGATAATGGCACAGGAATCAGAGAATCATTAAGGTTGGAAAAGACAACCAAGATTGAGTCCAACCATTAACAACAGAAGACAAGACCACCACTTAACCCCATCACCTACACCTTTCTTTAAGCTTGTCCAGGGATTCCACCACTGTGGGAGGAGTCCCAGTGGCCCCTAGTGTGAGCAGCAGTGACCTGACACAGTGCCCTGACACAGAGAGAGAGGAAGGAAGGTGACAACCTCTTCACAAGCTGCCAGCAAAGTTCCTCACTCTGCTTTCAGAAGCTGCACCACTGCTCCTTCCTTCGTGCCTCTTACCGTGCACTGCTGCTTTGTTTTTGTTTTCATTTCCTGAAGTCCTCCTGCTCATCACAGTCCACTTCCCATCCCCACACCACACCAAGCTCCTTCTGCATGCTCAGAACAAGCAAGCCTTTGTCTCAGCCCGCTTTCCACAGAAGATGTTCAGCAATGAAGTGAAAGCTTCACAACAATCCCAGTTGTGTATGTTATACAGTTAATCTGTATAGATTATTTTTTAAAACAATGATAGCCCATCACAATATTGAGATATTGCTATGGGAACTGGAGATTGACAGTACTTTCAACACTAAGTTCCTAAACCACGTATCTTCCAGCTTCATCATGCTAAACAAATCTCAGCACAAAGAACAGCCATGCCCAGAAATCATCATAGCTGTCTGGGATTCATGAACATGCCTTGGATGGATTTACAACCACATCCCATGAGGGACCCAATGTACTGATCAATATGGGCAGGGAAGCCTTCACTTGCTCAGAAAAAGAGGACTGGGGCAATAGAAGGGTGAGAAAAGAAAAATTACCAGTAAGGGTTGTATTCATAAAGTAGAACAGCTGGTTGTACTCCCTGTTAGTACAACACATGCAGGCACAAAAACTCAGCTCATGGCCTGAGCACACAGACAACTGCTGAGCAGATTTCTTAGGAAAGAAACCTGCCTTCTCAAACAGCTTCACAACAGTTTGAGAACAATACAGGAAACGTGTGTATGGGATGAACAAAGCCAGCCTGCATTCCCCAGCACTCAGAGCCTACACAAAGTCACTCACCTGAGACAAGAGGGACCTGAGAGCCAGGTCCATAACCTGGCTGAGAAGTCTGCCCCTGTCTCAGACACTGAGTTGGCTGCTAGGTCCCTGCACAGCAGCAGAGGCCACCACATCAAAACAGGGCTCTAAGCAGCTCCACAGCTTTCTTCTGGAAGTGAATGGAAGGGACCTCAACTACATCCTAACAGCACAGAATAATGCTCCAGTTCACAGACCTCTGGGAAAAGATGCTTGGCTTGGATCAAGTGAAATGGTTTGTTTTCCAAATCCCAAAGCATTGCTCAACATTTATTTCCCAGCAAAATCCGTAACTTTTCAATTTCTCCTTTTTTTTTTTTTTTTTTTTTTTTTTCAGAAAATTTTTTTTTTTTTTTTTTTTTTTTTGGTCACTGACTAAAATATGTTTTTCCC